CTTCTCAATTGTTTTATTATTGAAAACATAAACCCCCCCCAATTTTAGATTTGGGAAGACTATGAAATAATTCTAGTCCACTCCTTCTGTGTGATTAGTGTAACTAAGAACTCATTACCAGATATTACCTAGCTTGCCTGTGGATCTATGCACAAAGCTCAAAATAGTCCTCTGATGAGAAATATAGAAATATGAAGCGTTTCACCACTTCAGAAGAAACCGGCTCAGAAAAAATAATCTGTATGTAGCATTGAAACTAAAGAAAAATTGAAGCCATCAAGCAAAATGTTCATATCACAAGTAATTGAATTTCAGCTTTTGCTATATATTCTCTGTTTTTTAAATAACTTCCTACTATTAAAGGAAGTTTATTCAAAAAAATTACAGATGATTTTATAGGAAAGGTATATTCTAGGCAAATAATAAATTATTTTTATAGAAAAGTATATTTTCTTCTCTTTTCAAAAAATAAGTGCAATTTCTAGCAGTGTTTATGAATCTAGTGTTGGGCATTGAAGGAATTTGTGTTTCTAAGAGTTCATTCACAAACTTTGCTTGTCTGTGTTGAAAAAGGGCTTTGGCCATTTCCTCTGGGGACATTATTTCTAGGTAGGCTCTAACAGGGTTTTCTTGTGAAGGTAGATTCTTACAGGAAAGTAGAATCCATGTCCATTAGACAGTAGAGACACATTTATCATTGAAATACTGTGCTCCTGTTTGCGTGTTTCTCTACTGCATTTGATAAAGTGGATAATGTTCATTCCCTCTCAATTCTGTAACTCCTTGGGACATAGTTTCATTCTGAAGCTATTTTACCTTCTTATCTGGACTAAACATCTAATGTGATAAATAGACAGGGAGACTTCAAAAATCTTAGACTATAAGACTCTGAGGGATGATAAATACTTCTCTTCCTTTGCTGGTGACTTATTCTTATGGACTGAAGCATTTCTAATTTGGGTTGTTTTTCTCAGTAGTGTAGAGGGGGTTTTGTTTTCTGGGAAGTATTGGTTGCTGATAAATAACATGTCCCAACTGTAGACGGCTGCCACTAAATTTATGATAGAATATGAAAAGATAGGGCTGAGAGGCAGACATCCTAAAATCTTGCATCATTTTCATTTTCCATATGGGAGGTGAAGTGACTTCACAAGACTGTTAGCGTGAGCTGAGAAGGAGAGTCAAGATTCATCTAGTGCGTCATGGCTGCCTCTGGCTCACCAGAAACAACTCTCACATGGGAGTCAGATGCTGAGAGCCCAACTCAGCCGAGCTCCTCCACTGTCTCCTCAACCTTAACCTTGAAGGTGATTCATATCCACTCCATTCCTTGATGTGTCTCATCACACAGGCCAACACTAATCTTACTAATTGGACTCTACATTACTAGAATGTAGAAGATACCCCCATCTGCTCCTTGAAAGCCATGTCTGCCTTCCTTAGTTTGTACAGAGCCCAACAGAAGAGTGCCCTTCATAAGTGCTTTTTGATGAGAGCAATGATTGTCTTAGTCATTGTGGTTGGGCCCTCCCTTACTGAGGAGGAAAACCATCGGTTGTTGCTAAGCAACATTTAAAGGACTGGGTCGGTTTCTGACACCAAATGACCTCCATTTGTGTACTTCATCATGTTGTGTGTTTTATGGTTGCCTTAAGATGGCTTTGTTTTTTCTGGTGTCATTGCCGTGCCCATAGCCAAATGCTCATAGGAGAAATCGTTTAGGCACTGGAAGGAGGGAGGGGGATATTCATCTGTTAATTCTTGAGTACACTGACCACTTCTGTAAGCCATGCAAGAAAGGTGAGGAGTTTGGTTTATTCTCAGCCCTGTAGCTGAGAGACTTCCCTGCTCCCACATTGGGACCAATTGACAATGTATCCCACAGGGTTCTGTAACCATGGGAGTCTACAGAAAGAAAATAAGGAGAAAACTCTTTCCTCTTCTAGCGTTTTATGATTCAATTTCTACCTGCTCCTCTGTTTTGAACTGAGTGGCCAATATGGTTAATAAGAACTGGCTCCACCCTCTCTAGACTGTTAACTCTTGTGGTTAACCAGGGCGCCCTAATATATCTGACTATTTCTACTAGAATGAAAGCTGACTAGAAGCGTGAAAAGAGTTTTTGTTTCTTCATTTGTTTTTTTCACTACTGTGTCTTCACTGCTTTTCCTGGCCATTTTAAGTATTCGATCTGACTATTTCTACTAGAATGAAAGCTGACTAGAAGCGTGAAAAGAGTTTTTGTTTCTTCGTTTGTTTTTTTCACTACTGTGTCTTCACTGCTTTTCCTGGCCATTTTAAGTATTCAATAAATATTTGTCGAATGTATGATAAAATGGCATTATTGTACTAGTACAAACCTGATCGACTCCAAAATATTCCCAAGTATTTCAGAATGAACCAAATGAACCAAATGACTATGATTGGATGTTACATTTGGCTAAGCCTAGTGCGGAGAAAATTATGGAAGGAATCATGTCTCTAAGCTTCTTACAAAATATTTTTACAATGGTCCAAGTAAATAAAGTGTGCTTCTTTGCCAAAATTCAGTTGATCAATCAGAGCACATAAACCTGTCCTTTCCAGCTTCTACGTCTTCAATGTAAATGCCTGTCTTTTGAGGACTAAAAACGAGAGGCCATTGTGACTCAGCAGTTATGTGTTAAAAAATAAATAACTTAGGATTTATGCAATTCACCTGGAGTTCAAAATCGCTCAGAGGTTCAATAAGTAAAACACCCTAGCTTTTGATTGATTCAGTGATCCTTGGTTACTGTTACTAACATATTGTATCATGGGAAAACACACGTACACAAGCAGGTTACCCAGAAAGAGGGTGATTGTGCCTCTTTGAGGACAGTGGATAGTGTAGTGAGCCAGCAAGCAGCAATATTGACTTGCACTGGCTTCACCTCAAAAGGCCAGGTCTCCTGGGCATAGGCAATGGTATGACTCCAGGCTTGGGTGCTTGAAGTGAAGCTATGTCAGGTGCAGGATGCTCATTTGAAAGGGGAATGCCTCACAAGAAAGAGATCCTATTACAAGTTGGGGCTGTTGCCATTGTGCTTTGCTATTTCTTCAACATGCTGTACATGTACTCCTGGGAGAGAGAGGAGTAGGCTGGGCCTGGGTAGGGAATTCCAATGCAGTAGGACTCTAGTCTTAGACTTTCCTCTTGCCTGTGCTATAATGCTGACAACAAGAAGAGAGAGAAAGAGAAAGAGAGAGAAGCCTATGGGAAAGGAATGACTTTCTCAGCATGCCCTGGGTTGCTAAAATAAAGTAAAACTTAATTTAACTCCTATTTCTAAGATGAATTAGAAGAATTAGAAAATGTAACCCCAAAATACCAAACAAGCATAGCCACTCATGACCCCCAATAATTCACCATCCATTCAGCAAATGGTATCTTTTATTTCTTAACATGCTCTAGATCCTAAATCGAAAGGTTAAATGAGTTTAATTCATTTGTCAAATGCAATCTAATGTGAATATTAATGAGCTGATGAAGGGCAGAAAATTGCATGCTGCATATGAAGTACTTCTCAAATGAAATAAATTAATTTCATTCCATTTATTTCATTGTGAAAGAAAGCTAAATACATCGGCACACTGTTGGTGGGCAAATAACCCTCCAAAAATCTACTTTAAAAAATTAATCTATATTAAAGCCTAGTCTGAAAACACAGTTCTAATCTTTCTCAGTTTTTTTCTTCACATGTTCAGAAAGTAAATTAATCAAATGCACCATCGCTTTGAAACAATGAGAGTGGCTGAGCTTTGTGCAGCAGCTGCATCTGCAGAGTGCTGGTCTGCAGTGGAAAGAGAGGGTTAAGGAACACCTAGTTGAAATGGGGGAGGGTACCGACTTCAGAATTACTTAAATATTCATGGGGTTTCCTCCATTTTAATCTCCTTTTTGAAAGATGGCTGTGTTTCCCAGTCTGGCATCTCCTCAGGAAAGAATTTCTCCTTCCTTGCAGAGTTCAGCTGAGCAGAACTAACCTAGAGTGGAAACCCCTTCGGCCACCAGGACAATTCATAATTCATAAGTGCTTCAAACCATCCAGCTGAATACATTTGGACAGGCTCTTGCTCCTTCGTGCAATTACTCTCTTCATTACTCTCTTCTGCCAGGAAATAACAGGGAGCATAGGCTTCTTGCAGGAATGGAGTGCGAAGATGGGCTTTGTTTGGATCGGGAAATGCCATAAATTTTGGAGGCTTTGTCTTTTCTAAGTTTTGATTATTTTACCACTGGATCTGCAGGGCTTTCCTGATCCTTTCGGGATTGCTCTCTCAGAACTGTGAATTCTTTCAGAGGGATTTGTGGATTGTGGCAAGGAGAGCTATCCAAAATGCCTGAGGCAAACTATTTGTTATCTGTATCTTGGGGTTACATCAAGGTGGGTTAATTTGATTGTGTTATTTGTTTTTGATAGAATGTGAAACATTTACATCTGTATGTTTTCTGTGGAGTGGGAGACATCTGTATTGATTTGTGTTCCTTTAACTCACTGGGGCTTCTTATTGTGAAATAAGGGCATGTTATACTACATTGTATTTAAATATACAGTGCTGTATTTTAATCCTGTTCTTCTTATTCAACTCCATTTTTAAAGGACTCTTCTTTTTTATTTCATTTTCTCTTAAACTTTCACACAAATTATATTTTAATTTCTGATAAATATATTTTTTAAAGTAGTTACATTTTCAGGTGAAATTATCTTGACCTCTATTAAAATTCCTTTTCTTGTGTTTACAACTTCAAAATAAATCAGATGTTAATTCTAAGAAATCCTAAGAAAACCTTTGTTCCTAAGGTGACATTGGAATAATTTCAAATTAAGGGAGTATTATATTTTGGAGAAACAGTATCATTTATCTAATGGTATCTGCTCATGCAATCTCATGGTTCCTAGGCAGTAAAGTTGGAAGCATTTAAAGTGATAATTTGCTCTTTTTTAGGTGGTTAATACAATTTTGTTTTTCGTAAACAGTTCAAAAGAATGCTGAACCGGGAGCTGACACACCTCTCAGAGATGAGCCGATCAGGGAACCAGGTGTCGGAATACATTTCAAATACTTTCTTAGGTAAGACATTAACTGGTAAAAACTTGTCCTGTAACTGAGGTTTTTCAGCATTAATTTCTGCAACCCATGAAGTATATCCCAATGTGAATTTATAATGGGATTAAGTCATAGAAAAATGAATGCATATAAAATAAGAACTAGGGCAGTCTTTGAGGAGGAAAAATGAGCAGGAAGATGATGTTTAAAAAAAAAAAGAAAGAATGAAAATACACATCAAAAATCAAAGACAAAACGTTATCATGGGTTGACTATATGGACCTCAGGTCACCCCTTCTCTAGCTGCTCAATTTCATCTCTTCCAGGACCTCTAAAGTAGGGAGAATGGGCAGGGGGAGATCCAATCACCGAAACCCTAGAGACAGGTCCATTGGATCCTCTGACATGGTATTCTTTAAATTCTTCCAATAACTGGACTTTGAGCAAAAGGCTTCCTCTAAGGTGCTTTGTACGGGATATGGTTCAGGAAAAATTCTATAGTGATTGGGTCCATGAGAATAAGCTTTGAAAATAATTTGATTATTGCTTTGATAAGTTATTTCTTAAAGATAAGTGGGGGAGGGATTTTCATATCTCTGAAAGATTTTGTCTTCTGCATGCAGCACCATTATCTTCTCAATCTGATCCTTTATCTGTTATTCTCTGTTGTTACATTGCTGGTATTTAACACATGACACTGACCGAGAAGGTTTGCGTGAATGATCCTCAACTACTGTCCTGCATCCTGGTTGATTATTAGGGATTTCTGATCTCAGGGTTAAGGGCAATTCTATTGTAGATTGAACATATTTGGACTATTTCGATTTAATAAGGCCCA